GATTTGCACGCTTCAGAGGCAGGAACTCTTCTTATGCTCCAGCAGCCACAAATAGCTCCTAGTCAGCAGTTGGCTGTCGCAGGTATGTGGTAGAAGATGCTAAGGAGTGAACCATTTGTTTCTCTGACCAACTCTTCCTATGGTTTGGGTTTTTTTAGAAGTATGTTTCAGTCCCTTTAAAAGAGCAAAAATAAAGGTAAGGGGGGCAAGCAAGACTTGCCATTTTAATCTCTCAGTTTGACAGGTGCAGTTTTTGTGTTCCTGAAACTATCATCCACCCGTTGTCTCCATATATGAAGAGAACTAAACTGATAAATTCAGTTCAGTCTCCTATGAGAAGCTGCACAATGTCTGATCCCTCATCATCATCAGTGCCCCCACTCCATGCCTGCTGCCACCAGCTCATGCCCTGCACAGAACATGCACGAGGGACAGGAGGTTGGAGCTGTGCCCAGGGTAAATAGGGAGAGCTGACCCAGGAATAGTTGTCTCTGGGAAGGGCTCATGCTTGTGATGGGGCCCGTATTCCAGCCCAGGAGGTCCTTCCTCTTGATCAGCACTGGAAACACAGATGGTGGGTGTGTTACAAAACGGACCACATCACTCAGGTATCTCAACCTGATTCTACCTTTGTATGTTACAGGATTTCTCCAGCTCTATCTGTAGTCTTTGTCTCGCTTCAAATAATGATTAAGAAGCTCACAAAATCCTGGATTTTTGTATCCAGCCTTTTTAGAAAAAGATTATTTTTGAGTCTCCAAATTATTCTGGTTATTTGCCTGAGTATGCTATGCTAGAGCTGACCTTTACATATCCTGCACTGATGGACAGAATAACTTACTTTTCTACAGCAGTTATTGTGGTTTCATTTTCTTGAGATCTTCACAGTGTTCCCTCTGGAAACTGACTCTTTCTCTAAAGTTTTCTCTTTGTGCTGGGATAAATTATTCTTTCAGTGATTCTTGCCTGCTGCTGCTTCTGTTTCTGTTAAATTATACCACTCTGTCCTTTCTTCTGAGTTTTCTGGGGCATCTCTGCATCTCTTCAGGATATGGCAACCACTAACAAATCACTTCTTTTTAAGGAAAGATGACAAATCAAAGAAAAGAAAAAAATAAAAAGGACTGACCCACTTCCTGCTTTGCCTGCTGCTGCTTTCCTTTTCATCAAGAGACGAGATGAAATGGGGGTGTGAATGAAACTCCGCAGCTCTTCTTTCCTTACCCTGACTAAGTTGCAACTGTGACTGGCTACTAAGCCAGTGTACATCAGATGTAAATGGGAGTATAAAATTGCTGGGGTTTAGCTCAGTCAGGTTACATCATGTGTAAAGCAAATTCTGTTTGCAGGCAGGAACTGTGTCACTTCATCTTCTACGCAGGGTGGCTAATAAGCTTCAGAGCACAGCGTGTCCTCTCCCCTCTCTGCAAGGGCGCTTGTGCTGCTGTTTGGCGCTGCCTTCCCCTGTGCCCCGCCACAAAGGGCATGTTGGAAAGGCCAGGGAGAGCAGCATTTCCCCTCTGTTTTCTCTTTGCAGTGGGTTTGGAAACCAAGGACAAAAGCACCCCTGTCCTCAGCTTTGCTGGGCCAGCAGATGCCCTGGGCACGGAGCAGAGCCTGCTTCAAACGTGTGGCAACTTTGCTGGTGGCCGCCGGGGCCGTGTGCCTCTGGCCTCCAGCACGAGCCGTCCCCAGCACGTGCCGCCCGTCCCTGCCGGCAGCCACGGGCCCTCGGCCTTCCGTGCTGGAGCAACGGGCCAGCCCCCCGGGCTGCAGGGGTTTCTCGACCGCGCACTTGTGAAGCCTCCTTGTGCATGGGCCTTCGTGTGGTACCAGGCAGAGGAACGCGTGCGCTGCGCTGGAGTCGGGAACGAGCAAGAAAGGTGGTTTTGTCCCTCGACGCTGTTCTCGAATGAGGGACAGTGGTCGTGCACAGATGGGAATTTGACTGAAATGTGCCCCTACTTAGACACACCACATGGGGGGGGACCGATACCCCTGGCTAATCTGTCACATACAGATGACCAGCTCAGGAGTTAACCACTGGGTTTGAAGTATCCAAACTGACCCCCTATTTCAGTGTGGATCCTGCGTAGTATGAGCAGATCATTTACTGCTCCTCCCACTTTCCTCTTTCTCAGGATTAAAAATCAAGAGGGGAATTAGGGCCTTCATCTCATTTATTACTCTCGAGCACTGGCAGATTTTCTTCTGATCTGTTGGCACAAGGTGCATTTATAACATACAGCAGAAGTGAAATTGTAGGGCTCAGAAAAAATGCATGTTTGCTGAATTGAAAGACAGGCTGCAGTCTTGGAGCTGTAGTGTGAGGGAGGCTTTTCGTGCTCCACCTCCTCTTGCAGCTTTAATCTTCTTGCTGTAAGCCAGAGCTGACTGGGCATTTGCTAGTATGGTAGGCAGAATTCTGCTCCTCCACAGAGCTTTTATATTAAAAATTGTCTCCTGGTTTCAGTGGCAGTCCTTCTGCTTTCTTTTGTGCCTCCTTGCCTTTGGAGAGTGTGGATGTAGTCATATGTCTTTATTTAATCAGCTGGATAAGTGCCAGATAGCTCCCAAGGTGAAAAATAAGGTGCTTTTATCCTCCTGGGCATGTTTGTCTGTACTGGAACAATGGTCCTGTCGTGTAATGAGCTGATTCAGCGTGGAGAGAAAAAAATTATATCCCCCTTGTCTGTCAGCCCGGTTATCCTTCTGCACACTGACACGTTCACTGAGCTCAGGCTGGCTCATGCGTAATGGCCTTTATGGGAGGCTCTGAAATAATGGGTTTGGGTTTTATTGTATTCTGCACTCTCATCTGATTCCCCCCCCCCCCCCCCCAAAGGTCATATGAGGAGGGGCTGAACATCCACAGTCTGGTCATGGCTGCAGGGCTCAGATGTATAAGTTTACCCACAGAGTGTTGCTGCTTTGGCCTCACGCAGCAGCTGGCAGCAGCCCTGCTCGGTGTCAGCACGGCTCCCCACGCGAGGAGCTGGGGCCGCGGGCACCGCTGCCAGCGACCCTCCTGCAAAGGGGCTGCTGTCAGCCTTCAGCACCCTCGTGGCAGCTACGCTTTACGTTTAAAATGTGCCAAGATAAAGAAATAGATGGTTGGTTCTGTGCCGATGGGGCTGGCTCCGCTGCGAGGGCCGCGGTGAGAGGACAGGGCTGGCTGCAGAGGCCGGGGGCCAGATCCTGCCTGGCCCCTGCCCCGCTCAGGCCTTCGCAGCAGCCCCCAGGGGAAGGACGAAGGAGAAACTGTGGTGCTCTGGTTTAAAGTGACTCTGCCTGCTTGGCATCTTGGCATTTTCACCACTTTTTTTTTTTTTTTTTTTTTTTTCCCAATTTATCTCCGTTGCTGCAAGGGGAATGGCTTTCCCTGGCTGTATTCAGGGGAACCCCTCTTATTCCTCTCTCTCCTCCACGTTACTTTGAGTCTCTTTCTGCAGTATTTTTCCCTGGCCTCCCCTGTCCCTTTCCTGTCAGAGACTGGAGTGTTTCCCTGAAGCTGGCCAAAAGCTGCTGATGTCTTGGTTAGTGAAAAGTGTGAGATGGTGAAGGAGAGCGAAGTGGGGTCAGCACCCCAGGTCCTCTTGAAGGTTAGGAGTGCCCTGGAAGTCAGACTTAGCATAAATCCTGGGCTAAGCTCTGCTTTTCTTGTGCTTTATCTAGCACATCTAAGGTCTCTGTTATTTTAACAAGAACTAAACCCATGTGGAGTGTTTCTGGATCCATACTGTTTCTCTGGGGCAGAGTTGTGTTTTCTCCTGCACATATTCCTTGCAACAAATTGCTTGGAAAATGAAAGGTTCAGGTGAGTGCCTGCTGCTCCAGCTGTGCTGCTGAAAGTGTGTGGGCCTTTCTGGGGAAAAAACAAAACAAAACAAATAACAACAACAACAAAAACCCCAAGCAAAAAAACACAAACAAACAAACAAACAAAAGTTTCTTTCTGGTGAGAGATGATATATCGCTTAAAAACTCATTATTGTAGTGAAAGAAACACATATATGCTGTGAGTCCTGTTAGGAAAATCCTCTTCCCTATTATATCAATCAGTCTTTAGAATATGAAAGTGCATTAAGTCTCTTAATATGTATTAGTTCATGTTATACACTGTAATGTAATGAGGTAGTGTAATTTTACTGGAAACTGGTATTGTTCATGCTTAAGTAAAACAAGGTAAAGGACATCCTGGCCCCAGAAATAAGGACTTTGCTTCTTGGAAGCCTAAAGCTGCCCATGAAGAAGAAAGGATACCCCTGGACAACTGTGATAATGCCAGCATCCTCACCCTCTAACATGTCTTTGAAACCCTCCCAACATATCTGGTGTCAGAGATAATTAACTATAGCAAGAGTGACTCCAGTGATGCCTGAATCAGTAGACAAGCAACAAGAATGCTGCAAACTATAGTTGCTTTGCAAAGTTTCACTCTGATTAGTAATCGGCAGAGTTGGTGCTAGTGATTAGTCAAATTGTGTTGTACCTGAATGTTTGATAGGTATAGGAACTCTGTGTAAAACCACATTTGGGGTGCCCTAATTTGGCTGGGATGATTTTCGTGACAGTCCTCACCCTTCTTGGGGACTTGAATAGACAGTGATGATGCAGATCGGTGTCTGCAACGCTTCGGTGAGGCCAGTGGCATCCAGAGCCTGCTCTAGCCCCACTGGCCCCAGGCATAAGGTAGCAAACCTCACTGTGGCCAGTTGCATGGTCCCTGCGGGGCTGCATCACCCCAGCCCTGTGGGGCAGTGGCACCCAGGACCTCATGGGTGCTGGGAAACCATCATCTGCTGTGCCACTGCAGATTTCCTATCCAGGCCAGAAAAGCTGTGCCTATGGAGGTTGGCTGGGAGGTGTGCTGGCTCCCAGGGCTGTTTGCAGCTCTCAAAGCCCCCCAGCAGCCGCATGGGCAGAAAAGAGAGCGACGGAGCACTGTGCCAATGTTCTAGCGCTCCCTTTTCTGCCCGTGAGGCTGCTGGGGGGCTTTGAGAGCCATCGGGTGCCTGCTGCTAATCTCACTTTCAGGAGAGGCAGTGAGGAGGAACAGCGCTGATTTATTCCCTTAGACGGAGCCTGAGCTCACCCACCGTTGTTTGTGCAACGTATTGCAATGTGCCCAACCCCTCCTTTACTCGGCGGCGCTGGCTGGAGTACCTGCCGGTCTCCAAACGTCACCAGGCTCCGGTTATAAAGCACAGGCACTAGAGCATCTCCCCAGCTCCATCGCTCCGAGAGGCGCATCTTTGAGAAGCCAGCTGTACGCCAGTGGAAAGATGTTTTATTCAGGTATCCTGACAGAACCGAGTAGAAAAGAAGTGGAGATAAGGGAAGCAGCATCTCTCCGCCAGCAGAGGAGGATGAAGCAGGCAGTTCAGTTTATTCACAAGGATTCTGCAGATCTCCTCCCTTTGGATGGGCTGAAGAAGCTGGGGACTTCAAAAGATACTGTAAGGCTTTATTGTGTTTACTGGAAGGAGACTTAAGAAGCTGCTAGAGCAGTGTCTATGTTTTTGCTTTGTGTCATTTTTGTTAGGAGCAGAAGTTGGTTACTTGTGGAAATTGATTTAAAAAATTAGGCATTTGTATGTAAAAGGAAAGGAGTAGAAATACGATGCTAGTTAGCATTAGGGCTGCTTTTTGCTAGTAGGTGCTTTCAGATACCTGGCACTCAGTTCTAAAAGCTTTTGATTTTTTTTTTTTTTTATATATTTACATGTAAATGAGATACTGTTTTCAGTACAAAAATCTCCTCTGAATCAGAGTAAATCAAAATGGCTTCATATAATACATACATATATACACACACATTCGTCTGTAATGCATATATATGCACAACATATAATCATGAAAGATTTGGTAAAGTGTAGTCACTAGTACTTCAGAATATAAAACTGCCAAGATTCCACTGATAAAAGCTTATGCATATGGTTGTTTGTGGTTTTGGTTTTGTTTTTTAAATTAAGATATATAATTCTAGGTTTTAAATATTTAGATATGCAATGATCCACGTGATCCTGTAGCTGACATACAATATTCTTCATCATCTCCAGGGGTTGGAGAGCATTTCTGCACAAATGGTTGAGCTTTCTCTAGTGGGAAATGACACTTAAATATAAGTGATATAAGGAGCAAAATCTAGAAAATATATCCTACTGAGGAAAACTCCTTTACTTTTTTTTCACAGTTGTCACAAAATTTCTTGTGCCTTGTAACACACAATATTTGCTTTTTTCAATGCTTGATACAGGTTCATTGAAAAAAGTGAATATTTTTCTTTTTAGTGAGGTCCTTTTGTTCTGTCAGAGCTTTCCTGCTCAGCTGGGTTAAGCTTGGCTCTGCCTGGCTCAGATAAGTGGAATGAGTTGTCTGTTCTCTGCAGTGCGCATGGAGGTGATTTTTTTGACATCTCACATGTGTTGCAGTTGTAAGGAGTGAAGCTCCTGCACAGGGAAAGGCTCAGAAGCAGCTTTCCTGGTCAGCATTGTACGGCAGCTCTCCATCAGGGAGCTAAAAAGTGCCTTTCAGAGCATGATGGTGGTGTTATTACTATTATTTGCAGAGCCTAAATAGCATGTCATGGCTCAGCAACCCACAGTGTGTGGGGCTAAGACCCTGATGACAGGGGTTTCTGCTCTGCCCAGGCAAGAGACAACAGGTAGCAGGAGCCAGGGGCACTGAGCACCGACGTCCTTGTCCCCATAGCAGCGAGGACCATGTGTGCTCTGGGGAAGAGCACGGGGCTCCTCACCATGGCCCTGGTTACAGAAATGTCATCCAAGGTTTCCTCCCTGCTCCAGCGACTGGTCCAGCTGAGCCATGACTGCAGCATCACCCCTGCTGCACCCACGGCCCCTGCGAGGAGGGTCTGTGTGTGGGGGGCTCTCTCCAGGGTTGTGCTGAAGCCCTGGGGAGGTCCACAGCTCCTGATCGCCTCCAAGGACAAAAAGGAGGTGTGGCGTGGCAGAAGCGCGCTGCCTGTCCCGGCTACCCTGGCTGTGGTGGGTGTCCGGCCAGGGATGGGGTGAGAACTGAGCTGGTATGGGCTACCCCACTGCAAAACCACCTTGTCCCCATGCCACACTGGGGGTTGATCAAGATCATGCATCTCTGAGACTGGAGAAGCACAAAGACCATCTGAAATGTGGGACCCCACCTTGGCATGGCCCCAAACTGAGAGGTTGAGGTCCAGAGGGGTTGATGTGCATGGTCAAGATGCACAGGGTGTTTGCATGCTTTTCTTGTGAATAACTGCACACCTCCGAACAGAGCAGCATATTTTCATGTCTAAAGCTGTGCAAAAGCTGTGGTGATGTGGGCGTAAGGGCTTTTGACGTGACTGGCGTTACTAATGCAGGGTTTCCCGCAGGGGTTTTCCAGCAGGCTCAGCAGGAAAAGAGAGCAGGTAATAGCTCTCCAGAGACAGGGATAGATCATAAGGAGAGACCCTATCTGTCAGGGTGATAGCTGGCAGTGACCACTCTGATTTTGGGGAGAAATCCCTTTCCTTTTGGCTGCAGTGCAGGGGGTGCTACGTCCAGCGAGGTGGCAGCAGATCAGCAGGGTGGGTGTGCTGGCGTTCCCCAGCTTGTTTGCCATTACTCAGTCCCTGAAGCATCTCTCCTGGTGATGCCCCATATGGGCAGGTTTGATAAATATTTGTCCAACATTTTTCAGTGTATTGTTCTGTGTTGGGCCAAACTCTTCTAGCTCCTCGCTCCCTTTAAATATTCCACTTGGTTTGCCTAGTATAAGACCAAACTATAGCATAGCATATATTGGATTAGGCAAATGTAGGGCTGCATATATAGGGCAGAAATTGTCTTGTTTTGATGCCTCACTATTAGCCTCCTCCCCTGAAGCCCAGTAAATTGGCACGAGATGGTCATTAGCTGGGATTTGGACTTCCCGACACGGTAACCATGACCCACTGCCTGGCTTGGGCAGGGCGAGCTGGCCGGTGGCAGCTTCTCCTTGTGCTGATGCTTTGCCCTCGCCCTGAGAGCTGCCAGACTTGTTCAGAGGGCCTGTGCCTGAAACAGTCCTGTGTTGCTTTACAAGATGGGAAACAAAGTTATAAATAGTAAAAAACAAACACACAAAGCATATCCCCCTCCCCAAATGCCCTCAGAGCCCCCCCTGGGTGCCTGGGTCCTCGGCACAGCTCTGGGTGCCCCAGCGGCCCCCTCCCCTGCTCCTGTAGCGGGTGCAATATTGCAGTTAATTGCAGTGTGTTCCGTTTTCCCCACTTTCCCACTGTGTGCTTCCCAGAGTTTCTTGTGTCTTGCTTAAAATACTAAAAAACTTTGATGTTACGTGCACTGTCATGGTCAGAGACCTGGGCACTGCCTGCAGGAGAGCAGGGGGCATCTCTTGTCCCACCTCACCCCCCTGAAAGAGGGGCTGAGAGAACATGAGCACGAGCTGCTGGTAGAAGAGGTGAATTTGGATGAAGGACAGGAAGAAGAGAAATTGGTTATTTTTTGGGATGAGCTCTGTTGGCATGTTAAAACTCCTTTTTTTCTACTGTCTAGGAACAGAAGAGAGGGCAAATGTCCCAAGATCGGTTTGAGGAGGAGAGCTGGCATCTTCCCTGACTTTCATCTCCACCTGAGTGAAAATGTTGTCGATGGGTCTTGTTATCCCCAGATCTAGAAGCCAAAATAGTGGGGAACCTGCCAGAGAGATGGATGCTGCAAACTGCAGCAATGTGCTTGCTTATAAATTAGAGAGGAACAAAGCTGGACAGAATTATTTGTGGTTTTGACAGATAGTGGTAAATAGGTTCAGCAATAGCTGGTGTCTTCACTCCTTTTAGGTTTCTACTGTGACTTTTTAAAGGGATTATAGGCTTTTGGAAACTCTCAGGGATGGAAAGGGAGATATCTTATGAAAAAAATCCTGGTTTGTTTTTATATTGTGCTAAATGATAGTAGGAAATAATCTTTTTTGCACTTGCAGAAGGGTATGTAACACTTTATTTTTTTATAAAATTGTTAACAGTTTTGTGCAATGCATAGGAAGACAATACCAGATAATCTGAGTTACTCCAAACACTAATCCCACGCTGGAGGGGGAACACAGCTGCCTTCCCCATCGCTGTCACAGGGAGGTTTTCCTCCTCTCCCTCCCTCCCAGACATGATCTACTTGCAGTTTTCAGCAAAATGTGCATTTGCAAATGTGCCCCGGCACATCATCTCTTTACCAAGTACATATCCATCACTTGAGTCCTCTCTGTGACTAACATCCCTTACTCTGTTGCACACGAGAGTCAAGGGAAGTACAAGTTAAAGCAAACTAATTAATAGCCTGAGACAGGATGATGCTGCAGGGAACTTTTTCAACCCCCCCTCTTGCTAGATTATTTCTGTATTGGAGCACAGCGTGCGCAACATTTGTACCCCCAAAGGCAGGATTCACGGTGCTTTCGGAATAGCAAGGGTCAACAAAAGACAGTTCCATTTGTGGTGGCAACTCATGTTCACCGAGTGCTGGATTTTTTCCTTTCAGTGATGGATATCATATAGGATTGATAAAACCAGGGCCTGAGAAAACCCACAGATGTAACTGGTTAACGATCCTATAGGAGAACTTGTAGTAAAAAAAAATTTAGGTTTAAATCAAGGGTAGATGACAGTTAAAATAGCAATGATGAGTATGCTGATGACTAGTTCTCCAGCCTGTTCTTTCAAAGGTATTTGGCAACGTGATTGGATCCAGGCAGATCAGAAGAGCACCCAGGCTGTCCTGCATTCCTGGATGATGCCATTCAGAAATTTCTCTCAGTCCTAGCTGAGCAGGGCTGGGCATGAGGAGGTGACCACTGTGTGACAGGCTGCTTCTGGCCAGCTGGGAACTTCACCCATTTAGTTCTCCAGTCCCCTATCACCTCATTTGTTTTTTTTAATGATGTGAAGAATTAGTCCTCCAGACGTGTGTCTGAATTGCAGGCAAACATAAAGGGTAAGAAGGATGAGCCATCCACTGTCAGCAGACCCTGGTTTGCATTTTTGCTTGGATGAGGAGCCTTGGAGGTGATCACAGTGCTGCCTGTGCACCTACAGCTTCTGCCTCACGTAAGGGAGCCCTCGCTTCCAAATTGATTTGACTGTCCCTCAGCACAGGGTTCATTACTAGTGGAGCCAGTCTACCTGCCTTTAATCTGTTTAAGTAATACTAGTTTCTGCGGCTCAGTCTCACTGGGAAGGTGGCGGTCACCGGAGCAGTGCTGGCACTTCATTACTTTCTGTGCATGAAGGAGGCAGTGCAAAGTTGGATCTGATTTTTCCCTGTCGCTGGGAGTGCAGCTATGTTACTGCCTTTACACAGGGCATGCTCTCTATCGTGCTAGTCAGATATAGCACCTGCAATTGAAAATGGTCATGAAATTTTATTTCTTTTCAAGTTACAGGCTCTATGCAGAAGTGAGAGCAGTGCAAATTGGGGAAAAAAGATTTACATGTCCCGGTGACCACTGGTGTTGGCTGCATCTACCCAATCTCATCAGTCAGGTCCAGTTTAACTGCCTGTGTTACTCCTGCAGCAGGATCTGAAGCACTAACGTGGTTGCAGTTATTTTAGGATGATGCCAAGCTGCATTAGCCTTTTGTAAGTGTTGTTATTTAACATGCCGCACAGATTATTTTAAAGACGAGGTGCTGCACACGAGGGTGCACGCTGGCCATCTCAGGGAACCACGGCCTGAGGTTTGCAAAGTTATCCTGAGCCCACTGAAATTTCCTCAGGATGAGGAAGTTTTCTGGTTTAGATGTCTCTGCAGACACACAAGCATATTTAATATGGATGCAAAAATTCAGGAATAAGCCAGTAGGAAAGTCTCACTGTGGACAAATTAAAATCAGAAGGAAAGGGCAGTAACGGAGGGGGGGGATTAGCTGGGCAGAGAAATGAGCAGATAATCAAGCAGAGTAATTTCACCTCCAGCAGAGTATGTGCATCCACCCATAATGAACATTAAACATAAAAAGTCTTTTGGGAAAGCAGTTGGATGAGATTTTGTGAGGCAACACGCTTCTTGCAGAGCAAATGGAAATGACAGAGAAAGCAAAAAGCCACCATACGAAGTGTTGGGGGTTCCCAAGAGAATACCTGCCCTCAGACAGTCTTGCCTCTTCCCCCCTTCTCCTTTCCCCCTGTGGCGTGGCAGCCAGGGTTGGTCCCATTTATTCACCCTTAGCTGCTAAATACAAATGAGGAGGGAAGAGAGACACAGGGCAATTTTAGACCAAGTTCTGATCTAAAGGTCAGACCAGGTCTAACAATAGATACCATCTGTAGCACTCTTCTTGCAGTTGTTCCTTGTTCACTCGCACCTGCAAGAGCCAAGGCACAAATACCCACATCAGCTTCTTAAATTCTGGGTCGATACCAGCAAAGAGCATTGCCACAGGTGAAGGCAGGACACAGGTATTTCCTATGCCAGCAATGCCCGTGCTCAATGAAAGCATCTGTGTTCATTCAGTAAGTCCGTACCTTTTTCATACTTAGGTGGTGCATGTCAGCGGAAAGGTCATTTGTTATCTCTTAATTTTTTACATTGCTGCAGAATTACCAATATCCTTATCAACCGATGAAGGCAATTATGGCTGAAACACCAGTTTGGAAAAGCCTGACTTGTTATGATTCCTACATAAAATCGAATCTTGAAATTGAGTTTGGAAAAAGAAAGGCATCCCTCCAAATTCTGGTTAATATTTTGAGAGGATTATTCCCTTGCCAATATAAAGTAGTTCTCTTTAGTGGAAGCCAGATAAGGTAGAGATGGCAGGAGAGCAAACAGATGTAGGCTAGGAAGAGTACATGTAGTCTGGGAATCGGAGAGAGTGAGACTTTAGGGCATCCCTCCCACGAGAGCAGCACTGCCTATGGGCACCACAAGCAGGCTGGCAATGCAGGTCACTTCATGGCTCTCCTCTGACTTCACTTTGCTCTTCTGTGTGTGTTTTCTTAAAGCAACCACATAATATCCTGCAGAAACGCCTGATGGAGACAAATTTATCAAAATTACGAAGCAGCCGAGGCAGCTGGACTCCGAAGAGTGATATCTCAGCACAGACCAACAAGCTGAATCAAACGAAACTGGGCAGCTCAGGGAAAATGGAGGATGAGGAGCTTATAGTGGTGAGCTGCCAGGTAATAATCCCTCCCCAGCCTTCTGGGTTTTTTTCCCTAAATTTTATTTCTGACAGCCTCAAGTTATGCTCTTTTTCTCCATGTTTCCCAGTTAGGGTTGCACTCCACTGGGGCCGTCACAGCTGTGGGGATGCTCTCCCTCTGCAGCTCAGGACCCAGAATTTATCCACCTAGGTATCACAGAGAAAACTGATCTGGTGGATGTCTTCCAGTGGGACATTGGGGTGGGGGAAGCAGCCAGGCTGGGGCAGCACGCTGAAACGCTGAGGAGTAATTATCTGTGGCGAATCCCTGTGCTCAGTCTATTTGTTTTCCTCAAGTGCCATCACTCTTTTCTTTCCCCAAGAGTAATTTCACGTCTCTTCTTACCCCCACACTATTTTGTATTTCCTGCTCTCCACAATATCCCCTCCTGCCTGGGGATGCCCCTTCTGCTCCCTACTGAGGCAAATGCAGGGAAAGGGCTCAGGGCTCAACACCACGTTGTTTAGTAGCACCATATTAAAAGCAGCTCCAGCACCAGCTCTTGGGCGCCTGTGCGGATGAGATGATACCCTGCGGGCACTGAGTGTGCAGTGGAGCAGGGATGGGCTGGTGTGAGATGTTGGTATTCTGGCGGGAACCAGTGTGTGCAGAGTGGAGACCCGAGACACTCTGCACTCATCCCGCATCCCACGCATTGTCTCCTGTCTCTGCTTGCTCTTGCAGTGTGCAGGGAAGGAGCTGAAGGCCGTGGTGGACACCGGCTCGCAGCACAACCTCATGTCATCTGCCTGCCTGGACAGGCTAGGGTAAATATCCAGCTGGATTTCTGTTTTGTGGGAATTCGTGGCACCTGGCAGCACAGACAGTGCTCCCAGGGCTGGGGCTTCGCTCACACCAGTGATGGCCAGTCTGGGAGGGAGTGCTTTGGGCTGAGCCTCCCGTTACAACCAAATCCTGGCTCATTCTTAAATGTCCTTGCAGGGAGCTGAAATAGAAAGCCACTTGTATCAACCTATTCACCTCTGAGTAAATCTCTTCAGAGGGTTGGATGCATTTGTATTTTTTCAGTGTTTGCCTGTCATTCAGTGCCTTGTGAAATAGCTGAACCCTGCCATGCCCCCAAACTTCTGTGTCCCCGGGGCGGGTGTGGGGCTGGGTCAGCAGCAGGGATCTGGTGACTGCAGCACTGCTGACCCTGGCACCGGGTGTAAAGCAGCTATGTGGTTGTGTACATGCCTGTGCTTGGAATTTGGTGTTTGATGCCACTCCCAATAACAAATTTTTCCCAGTTGAATGGAAAGGGGATGTATTTACGTAGTGTTACAGAGCTGACTGCCAGCCATTTGCAGCAAAACTCCAGCTGATCTCTGAGGAGTGGGATCGGGCATCAGCTCACAGGGTATCAGGCAGATCTTGGAACTTTATTCCCACGGTGTCACTGCTTTTCATTGCTGACTTGCAGTGATTCATGGCCATGAATGAATGGTGCCAGTTTTCTGTCCAGACATTAATTACTTTGCACAAAAGTGTTTACTGGCTGGAAGGTGGCTGTGCTTACTACAGATTTGTCACAGATTGTGGAGTGGCTCAGCCTAGCTTATGGATATTAAGAGTCCATTTGGGGGGTCTCATCTTGCAAGATGCTGTATTGACTGCTCAACACATCTGAGTTGTACAGCGATGCTCTGTGACAGTTCATCTGCTCTCTGCATAACTCATGAGCATCCTGGGTAGTTTTTGCAGCACCAGTCTGCTTCCACAGTCCTGCCCTTCAAAGAGTGATTAAGAAACAGGTTAAAGCCAGTTTCTGCTCTCAGGTGATGGGGATTCCATCCTCATTTGAGCAAGACCACCTTTGCAGCTATCAGCTGGACAGCTGCAGTTAAAAGGCCCATGTCTCCCCACGGTGTTACTCATCAGCAATGAGTGAGCTTTGGTTCCTGCCGGGTGGGACCCCATGGACAGTGGGGCATGCAGGAGCCACGCTGCCTTGCAGGCAGCTCCCTGTAGCTCCTTTGCTGTTCGCGTTTGCAGGGACAGAAGCTAAAGACAGGTCAACAAAATGGGTTAAAACCAGGGCTTTGATGCCTGGCTCGCTCTGCTGTCGCTGTGGTAGGTCCCGTGCAACAACAGGCACCGCTCCAGGACGTTTTACTTCAAAGCAGTCCAGCGTGTGTGGCAATGATAGAACATGAATTTTGTTTAAATCCAGCACTGGAAAGCAGCAGGGAAGAGCTGTGCTAGGCGATTTTGCTCTTGTTCGTGCCAGAGCAGGAGGGGCCCTGCAGTGAGTTTTGCTGGGTGCTGCTGCCCACAGTTGAGGCTCAGCAGCTCTGGGGACGGGCCCCACTGCTGAGGTCTCTGGAGACTCAGCATCTAAAAGCAGTGTGTGTGCCCAAGGCACAAGCTGAATTCCTGCCTCCTCTTTTAAAAATCTTTTTGTATCTTGTCATGGTGCCATTTGAGCGCTTCCCCTGGCCTCTGAGGAATGTGATGGGGTCAGCTTGCAGGTTGCCACATCCTTAGAAATCCCCTGTGGAGGTGTAGGTGCAGCCATTACTTGAGCAGCTCTGGTCACTGTGCACTGCTCAGGACTTTCTGCTTTCAAACCCAGCTCCAAGATGTGTCACTGCACCATGCGTCCGTGGTTCTCCTTGCCTCGCTGCAGTTTCCTGGACAGCTTTCAGCCATACATTGCCCACATGCTATCCATCCATCCTTGGGTCGGTGTCAGTTGTGATAAAGTGCTTCCTTGAAGGTGGCTGTAGTCTGTCCCCCCCCGCAGCCCCTCTGCAGCCCTGGTCATGCCTGGGAAGACCATCTGGGTCAGCAGGTGCTGGAGTGAGGAGCCATCTCCAGCTGTATCTCAGCTCTGTTCCGCCCTGGCTCCAGCACTGTGGCCTGTGCCCTGTGGTGGGGACAAATTGGGGGAAACAAAGACCACAGCCAAAGACCACATCTTCCCTTGAGTGGATAGAGAAGCCATGGGAGTTTTCTGCACCCAAAAAAGCTCCTCCAACCTGTCTCAGGACAGAGTAAAGCCATCTCAGGGTCCAGTTGCTCATAATCTTCTTGATACGTTCTCACTGCTTTTTAAGGCAGTCTCTAAGGGAAACGGCAGAGGGGATCCAGCTCCTTCTTTCTGCTACCTCTCCTGATCCTTGTACCTGTGCTAAATGGTGTGGGCAATCCCCACCTCAGTCCTGGGGCCTCTGCCTGTGTCGGGGACTGGTCACCCCCCAGGATCCATGAACAGACACACACATACGGACTGCTGGAGTGCAGCTCTGCAGAGAGGTACCTCAAATAGCTGTAAAGCGATATAGCTTTTATTCAGAGGGAGAGATCAGCGCCTCAAACTGCCTTTCCTTTAAATTCTCATTCAGTTTAAAACAGAAACAGAAGGTAAATAATTAATCAGTGTTGTCACTCTCATTCATGGGGCATAGATATAAGAAATGACTGTACCTTAGATATCCCTGACACCCTTTTTTCCTTTTTCTCAGGCTGAATGTGACTGATCTGTCCCCATTTCCTCTGAATAAACCCAGCAGCAGCACCTGCTAACAAGCATGGATTGGGCACGCTGCCCCGGCTGTGAGGCGTGGGAACACGGTGCTGGCGGCTCCACTGGTGGGAGCTGGAGTGGAGTATCCCTTCCTTACACCCACGCTGCATTAGCAGCAACTGTAGATCAGCAGCTTCCCCAAGTCTTGAGGAAATGTAGGAAAAAATTATTTGGGTAAAAAGCAAAATCCAGTAAGGATCTCTGCTTGTGGCAAGGGCTGATGCAGCCCCAGGGCTGCACTGTGGGTTGTGCTAAGGTCTGACGTGGGTGTGGGCTGCTGGCTGTATGTAGAGCATCACAGAAAAGCCACCGAGAAAGCAGCTTTCCAATGACAGCAGGGTAATATGAGCAAACTAAGAGGACTTCAGGTGTAAGTAAGGTGTAAGGCAACACTGTTTGCTCCTTGCTGGACCAGCTGAACCGTGGCCGTTTCATGTCAGAAGTGTTTTCAATGCACAGGTTAAAGGAGCATCTCAAAGCACTCCCTGGTGACGACGAGATGGTTTCATTGCCGTACAAGGTGAGGGCCATCGGCCAGATCGAGTGCCTCGCCCTCACGGTGGGAGCGGTCCCCGTGGAGTGCGCTGCCCTCGTCGTGGGTGAGTGTGTGGGTCCTCCTCTGGTCCCCCGGGTACGCACGGGGGCTCTACTCCCTCTCACCCCAGCGGGGAAAATGAAGCTTCAGAAATACATTAAAACTAAAATAGAAATATTGCTTTTCTGCAACAAAAGACCCTGTTTGGCCCTTCAGACGGCGGGGGGAGGGAGGATGTGTTCAGCAGGGCTGTGCTGGCGGCACCAGGCTCGCACCCTGCCGAGCCGACGGAGCGGTCACCGTGTATCCCTGCAGACGTATCTGCCTGCCCTTGTTTGATCACGTTCTCCTCTGGAGTAACTCAGTCCCTTTATAAACAGGGCTTTATTCAGCAGACCTGCCATGAAGGAAGGATGGAGTCACTGACAAAAAACACGGGAGAACATTTTGCACGTATAAATCTGAATGTTCCTATTTTTCAGAAGGCAATGAGAAACCCTTCTCCTTTGGGCTGCAGACACTGAAATCTCTGAAGGTAGGGGTTTTGCAGCAGGGCAGGGCTTTTACCCTTGCTGTGGGAGCTGGGACAACTGTGAATCACAGTTTTCCCTCTTACCTAAAGGCATTTATTTTCTACAGTGTGTCATAAACATGGAGAAGCACCATCTCGTTCTGGGGAAGACGGACAGGGAAGAAATTCCGTTTGTGGGTAGCAGCAGTGCTGCGGTGGGAGAGCAGTAAGTCGGCAGGGGAGGTGGGCTGTGTGTGCACCGCGGAGCCCGACGGCAGAGCCCCCAGCACGGCCATGCAGGAGCCCCCAGAGCCTTGCTGCAGTGAGCGAGAGCTCACCAGCAGCAGCAGAAATGGTTTTCATCAGCTCATTCAGTTTTGGGACATAGTCCCTGGCTTTTTCAGCAGCCTTTTTAAGCTTGTGATGCTTTTTTTTCCAGTAAGCATTGTACAGCAAAGAGCGTGTCTGAAAAGACACGCACAGGGAAACACCTTAAGAAATGTACTTTTTGGAGGTCACTAGGAAGACTCCTTGAGTGCTGCTTTGAGAGTGTTCCCAAACAAATCTTTTTCTATAAAATATTTATGAAGCAAGGCACATAAACCCACATGAATGTTTTGCAAAGTGCAGGAGAGAGAGATTCTGCCTGGAGATAACGGTGTTCTGTCACTTCTCCCCATATTGCCCCAGCTGCCCTCCTGCCAGCTGCTCCCAATGTCCCAGACTTTTTCAGCCTTATCTCCCTATAGAAAGAGAAATGTACTGTCTGCTCTGGTCCCTCCTGACCCGCTGGCTCTGCAGGCAGGCAGGCAGCAGGCAGGACAATCCCCCCCTTTCCAGGCGCTGCCCGGGGCTCCTCCGCACTGAGCACTGTGAAAAAGAGACGTACCACTGGCTCCTGCCCCTGACTTCTGCAGCTGGCAGGCACCGAGTGCCTGAGAGGGGGATTTGCTCTTATGTGCTTCTCTGGCTTTGCAGGCAGAGCTTGTGGTTGCTCAGCGATGAGCTCTGCAGACACAGCCATCTAAAAAAAATTTGCTTACTGCATGAGAATCTTTGGCGAATGATGGAGGGCAGCACCTTCTTTAGCTGCCTGTCATGACCAGCCACAGTCATTTTGGATGTCCTGCAGCCCCTGGGCGGGATCAGGGAAGGAGCGGGCCTTCCTCAGCTAATTGTGTTTATGGTCCTTGGGGAGTACACGAGGGATGTTCACACTAGTGCAGGGAGTCAGGACGGGAGCGCATGTGCATCTGCCGTGAGCCCAGGGCACCCACCGGCCACGGGCCCAGGGCACCCACCGGCCACGGGTCCAGCTGGTGTGCGAGCCCAGGGAGTGCCTGGTCCTGGATGTCTGCTGTGTCTCCTCTGAAATAAGGATGCGAGAGGCATAACGTAGTTCTGCCATCACTGCAGGGATGAATTATTTCTTGGTACTGCTTTCAAGGCCAAATCTTTCTGCTGTTTTTTGTTTTTTTTTTTTTTCTTTTAATGAAAACCGCTTATTTTATTGAATGTCTTTTTTTTTTTCTTCCTGTTTCAGCAGTTTGGAGGCATAAAGAGAAATTGAAACACCGTCCCCACACAACAGCTTGACATCAAAGAGATCCTGTGCAGCTGTTCCAGATGAAACAGCAGCGTGCTGCTTTGAAAACATTTATACTAGGCTACAGCTTGAGTAGAGCTACATGAAATCCTGTTCAGTAGCCAGTAATTTAGAGTTATTGTCATGTTTATCTATGGGTTTTGAGAAACAAATGTGTGCTTATTTTCTGGACTTTTCTATATAGTGTGCTCTTTATTACAAACAGTTGGGAAAACCTAATGAAGTTCTGATGAGAAAAATACTTTTTATAGTGGCCTCATATGAGTAATTGTATTTAATTGTGATTAGAGGCTATCAGAATGAAATTTTTATTAATGATTTTTCCAGGGGCTAAGCATTTATATTCACTTAATTGGTACTGTCACATTCAAATGGCCATTACCAGGAAGTTACTCAGAGTAAAATAGCACTGCTAATACCACCTAGGAGTTATAGCTCATCCTCTTAGCGTAGTATCGTTGCCATGTAATTAGGGATACAACTGCTGGCTTGATGAGAAAGAGCAATTATATAATTATTAATGGGTTATAAGCTTCTCCACAGTGGCGTGGTGGAAGCACAGGTTTGGGAGGGCTCCTGGGGTGATTTCCTGCAGCCCCCAGCTCGCTGTGGGGTTGGTGCTAGCACAGGGGCTCAAAACCCCCCCGAGGAGGGATCCTCTGGGCAGGTCTTGGCTGCCTGCCTAGTGGGAGTAGTCAGGAAAATGAATCATTTTATTGAGCCAAAAAGCAACAAACAAGCACAAAAGTATGTTGTCCGGAAAGCAGCAGGTACAGAGCCTCCTGGGTGTATCAGGAACCAAACGGCCCCGTCACGCCCTCGGTTCCCCGCTGCCTCTGCCCGCCCGCCCAGCTCCCAGCCTGAAGCACCAGCAGCACCCGGGCTGCGCGCTGCTGTGGGTTATCCACTCCAGGTGGACTTCAGTGTCGCTGCCAGAAATGCCATATTTTTTATATTTATTTACAGATCGCCTGGGATCTTACGTACTAGACTAACCTCGATCACCCTCAGGGCAGGTGGGAGTTTTCACCAGGACAAACATTTCATTCGGTGTTACAGCAGGGTTGCTAATTCACATACTGCTCGCTTGCAGATCAGAACAAATGTACAGTATTGCTTGGGGGAGCCTGGCCTTGTACAAAAGCAGCTTTCTAGATTTTTTTAAAAGCTAATGGGAATTAATTACTGTCATCTCCTGAAGAGGCATCTTTACAATTCAGAATAATATCCTTGTGATGTTGTGCATCTGGCCCACAAGTCAGGCTCCTGCCAGCTTTAGCCAGTCTCTGCCCAGTAATGCCATCTCATGCCTGCCATGACATCTAAGCTGGAGCTTTATCTCCTGCAGTGGGTTCGAACCTCTTTTCAATATTGGGTATGACTAGCAAATCTGAACTCTCTGTATTTTGAGCTATTTTATATTTTGGTGATAAGTTTCAGTGCTTTCTCTACATACAGTATTTTATATAACACAGCTATATATATATTTACAGGGTTGGGCCACCCAGGTTGGTCCCACCAATGTGTTGTAGAAATATTTCACTGAATATTAAATATATTTGATTATTTTTTATGCTATAAGTTTGGTATTTTGGTACTTCTTTCTTTCTGTGCTTATTACTGTGCTAAATGTAAAATTAAATCTAAATAAAGTTACACTTATTGATGTTTATTTGCTTGTACCCTGGATGTGCTGGTTATTTGTTTTCAGTGCACTTCTCTGTTGAGAACAGGAGTTCATTCCACTCCTTACCCTGGCAGGGCTCCACAGTGCTTTTGTGCTTCTGTTGGGAATTGCTGTTGGACCGTACAGAGCGCGGAAGCTCTAAATGACACATGGCACTTGTAGTAAAACATGAGCATTTGAAATCCCAGCCTTTTGTTGCTATGCATGACCCTCCCAAAGGAGGTGTGAGATCCTGCTTGTAGTTCTACCCTTCAGAGAGCTGAGTTTGTTTCTGCTGTGTTGGGCTAGCTCGCCTGGGCGATGCCAGCCAGGGCAGGTGAATACAAGGGCGACTTTGTAAACTTTTTGAAGCTATGAAAAGAAAGTGGCCCGAAGCAAAAGACAGGTAAGGCATGTGTGCAGTAGCTAGGTGACCACAAACAGAAGAGCAGAAGCCTGAGATCCGGGTCTTCCCCAAAGCTTTGAATGTGGATTTAGGGGCCTGCTGTCTCTGCCTGTTTAGATTTTAGGCTGCTTCAGCAGTAGCTGATCTCTCTCTTACCAATGAGAAATTATCCTTTTACCCACTCAAAGTCCCACATCAAAAATCTTTGGTGGAGCAGCAATACTTCAAGCTCAGTAAAAGTGGCTCTCCTCAGCACTGGGCTGCCTTCCTCTGAGCGCAGAAAGAAACCAGACTCCAGTACTAAAGCGGAGAAAAAATGAGGAGGATAAATGTACAGGCAAAAATAACTTCTTGTGCTTCCTGGACCTGCTACAGGTTTCTAGACTTACTTAGATGATTCCTGATGCTAGAGAGCAGAGTCTTAGTACATGCAAATGAAAAATCAGTGGGCAAAATTTCATCCCTTCTGTGCAGAGCAGGGTTAGCCCTGGTGCTGGTGGTCTTTCAGAGGTGCCTCCTGTGAGCGAGATGCTTTATCAGACACGACAGCTGCTATAGGAGACAGGAGCTCGCCTCAGTCCAGAGGCATTATAGGCTATGGGCAGTAACACTGGATCTCTGTATCTACAGAAGCACTTGCATGGCCCCAGAAGTAAATGATAAAGCGGCTGAGTGTTGCAGAGCCACTCAGTAAGCCCTGGGTGCTTGCTCCTGATTATCTTCAGCCCTGGTGTGTGCCTATACACCCTGACAACTTCTCCCTGACATGGGTTTGCAGGAAGCCCAGGCACGGCCCTGCAGCTGAGTGACCTGCAGACGCCTGGCAGGTGGATGGGGGCAGAGAAGAAGGCAATGCCTGAAATGATCTGGGATGAGAAGGACTTGGGAGATAAAAAGGCAGCTGTGAGTGAATGTTATGAGAAGCCCCTGGGGTGGCAGAGGGTTTTGTTGAATGATTTATGCCACAGCTGGTGAATGCTGTCATGCTGCAAGCAAACATCTCACAAGCACAACCCCCCCCAAAGCAGCTGAAGGGGAAGTGAGCCGGCTGCTCCTGGGCCAAAGGGCTCCCCAGCACTACTGCTTGTGCTCTGGTAGACAGCAAAGCGCGGTGGGACAAAACACCTTCGCCTTCTCCAATGTCTTATCTTCATTGTGGTCATGCCTGAAGTGGAGATGAAGCATACAAAGAGGAAGACATTAACAGGAGCTGTAGTGGGTCCATCTCAGTGCTTCAAAACCTGGTGGAACGTGCAGGATCTTGATGCTTGGGCTCCTGCAATTAAGTTGGCCCGTGTGATTAAGACATCAACACTTGCTGGAAACTTTAGAGATCTGGACAGCTGGTGGAGAGTGGCCGTCAGGCTCTCAGTTCATGTCTGTATTTCATTGTAAGCGATGCACCTGCGGCCACACAGGCAGGCAGGGCAGTAGCAGAGGAGGAGCACGCCAGGGCTTTGGAGTGGGGCTCTCCCCGTGACCCCACCATCTTCCTCTCCACATTGGTTCAAGCAGCTATGGAGCTGATCATTCAGCTTAACTCTTTATGTCCTGGCCGCTCTGAAGCAGCACTTCCTGCTGAGCCAAGCGGAAAGTCAGAGGGCATTGCCAGAAGTAGTCTTACAAGCAACATTTTTCACATGCATTTTGCATCCTGCTGAGATCCACCAATGTTTTTTCATTGCCTGTGCAAGCAGAGCAGCTGATTAGATGAGATCTGCCGGGGCATCTCTCCACAGCTACCTGCAGGGTTATCTGTTATCTAATAGTTCTTCAGGGAGGTCCTTTTTATGGGCTTTTCTATTACTGTTTTGCTGATGATAATGATGCTTAACATGTTGTGAAAACAAATCTGATTCGTATGTCTCAGAAGCAAATAACTAGATGACTTATTTTGATATAAACATAAGTTTTAGGGCTGTACATTCCTTGATTTATTTTACGGGGCAAACATCAGCTGAGGTCTGTATTGCTTTACTACATATTCGCTTAATAGATGGAAGTGAGGTATTGGGTTTCCATCAATTGAAATCTGCTCCTTTTCATAAGCCAAGTTTTCTATTTCTTCCCTTTTTCATGGGCTGTGCACCACTGAGACTAGCTCACTGATGTGCCTGTCTCCTCCTCCTCTGTTAAAAACCACATCACTGACGAAAGGCTACAGGCTCTGGAGATGACAGTGTAGGTATTGGTGACATTTCACTAGAGATGGCATTGCTGAAAAAGCAATTGATTAATGATTTCATTACTAGAGTGGCACTGACACCACTTCCCCAGGATGAGACTTCATCACTCTCAAAGTGGGTGTGAAGACAGTCAACAACCTAAAAATACTCAGAGTTCAGGAATAACAGGAAGCCATGGCAGTGGGAGAACTAGCTGGGGGGATGTTGCAGGGACTTTACTCTCTTTTTTTGAATGTGACAGGATTGATGCCTGGGGCTCATAGCTGCCCCCGCTGTGAGATGCAGTTGGATGCTCCAGAAAAGCATCTCGGCTTGCACAAGGGGAAGAGGTGCAAAGCTACATGCTCATTAAATGTAAAACTGCTTGGTATCCTAGAAACAGGTGGTGTATCTGCAGAAGGTGGGGAGCTCCTGGTGCTGCTTCAGCCCTGCGTGCCTCGCCTCTGCTGTCCACACGGCCCCACATGCAGGGCCAGCACTGCTTTACTGCTCAGCTCCTTTTGCCTCTCTTTCTCAACGACCAGGAAAAACAACCTCCACCCTGCAGTGGCCGTGCAGTCACTGCTACTGCAGGTGAGGACACCGCTACCACCCCGCGGTGCTTTTGGGGGGCTCACTGCCCGCAGGGCTGGCACCGGCCCCGTGCCCCGTGCCGTGGTGGCCGGCAGCACCAAACTGCTGTTTGTGGCCGGGCTGGCCTGGGCTGCAGCCGTGGGGACCACGTTGATGGCTGGGGAGCATCTCAATGGCAATGCCAGCAAAGGCAGTATTGCAAATTACTGCTTAAGGGAAAGAGCAATACTGAGATCTTTGTTCTCAATGAGAAAAACAACCTATTTTGAAGTGTTGCTGTAAATCCCAGTCCTCTGTTCCTTCACAACAGATCACATGGAGGAAGGTGAGTGATCAGGTACCTGATGGCTGCAAAACACACTGAGTCATGGAGAACGAGGGCAAACAGGCTCCATCTGAGGAACTCGACAACACCAGACAGTGCTAGCTATTAATTTGCTAAGAAAAATATAAATGGGGGTGAATCGTTGGTCTTCCCTGGATCACAAATCCAAAAACACACTTCAAAATCCCTGGGTGGAAGACAAAGGCCAGCACGAGTCCATTGCAGCCCAGTGACCTGGTTTTGTCCAGACCTGTAGAGATCAGGACACACAAAAAATTACCAGGATTTTGCCACTAGCCTTTTTAGGTGCTGGCAGAGACGGGGAAAACCCATAATTGGACAAAACATGTCTTGGAACTGGCATAACATGGCAACTGGGCCTCAATGGTGCAGACATTTGAGAATCCAGTGAAGCGGGTCTGCTGTGGGTGGTGCCCTGGGAAAGGCTATTTGGCCTTCTGACTTGGCAGGTTTAAAGAGGAGATCTGTGTATTTTAAGCTCCTTCTACTCACAGAGAGCTCCTCTATTGAAAGCATCATGATGTTTCTTGGTTTAGGCTTCAATGACATTTTTCAGACTGACTTTTCAGGCTAACAGAAGGGGAAAATGGGCTCTTGTTCCTCCAGAAGGAGACGACAGTGTATTTTAAAAAACAAATTATGTATGAGGGCTAATTAACTTGGCATTTGCAGCTTAGCATTCTCCTAGATAAATGTGCTCCAACTGAGACCACATTTTGTTTCAAGGAAGCTTCTGCCTAGCACCTCCTTCCTCCTGCTGCTTCGTATGCTGTGATATTAAGGTCACCAGCCATCTTCCAATGTCCTGTTCAGTGCCTTCCAATTAAGTAATGAGTAAAGTGAAGATGCCAGGTATGGTTTAGCTGTGAGGGCTGACACATCTCTCAGTGGGGCTCCGTATGGTCCTGGTCAATGTTTTAACAGCTCTAAAGAGCCTAGTGGGATAGGTTCCTAGAGGAGCTTGCTACAGAGCAATGATTTAACCAGTGGAGACGCTGTTGTTTCTGCTCACCATAGAGAGGAGCTCTGAAAAGGTCATACTAATGAGGGGAAGGTGACAATGTAGGTGAGGAATTTATCTCCTCCTCCAGCACTAAGGTCTTGCCAAATAATTTGCTCTCTGAGCATGCTGTGGGTATGGTTAGCAGACTGGGGGGGGATGGACAGCCTAGATGCATGGGCAGGATGGGGCAGGCAAAAAACCTCTTGTCCTTGCTGCTGCAGGCCCCCCAGGCCCATGCTGTGATGCACAGGACACACTCATCAGCAACATGCCTCACCACAGGAGTTCCAAAATCCTGTCTGCTTATGCTGTGCATGTGCTTCAGGGCTACGTGGTACAACGGAGCAGTGCTCGCTCCATGCAGCAGGGAGGTGCAGCTGAAGAGAGAAAGCCTAAGCTTGTTTTGACAAGGGATGGTGACTTTATGCTGACATTATTTGGGTGTTATTTATCTCTCAGCAAAGTCCTCCCTCTTCTGTCAAGATCATTTTCCACCCCAGGG